TTTTGGAAAGTTTTTAATTTATTTAGTAATTCATTTAAGATTGATTACATATGATATCAGATTATCATGTGACACAAATTCTCTTTTTAATGCTTAGAAAATTTTTTTTGTATATGACTTCTTTCGAATCTTTCCAATATAACTAAAAAAGCTGAAAAACAAAAGAAAACAATTACTTTCAGTTTTAATAATTTTATGGCAGTATGAAGTTCCATTATAATTGATTATTGTTACCGTTGAGTTTCAAAATATTCGAAACGATCGAAATCATTTCTTTTGAAAATAACTATGAATGAACATCGAAAAATTTATCGAATTTTCGAATGTGCAAATCACTAACAATTATCGATATCATAAATCATATTGAACATGGAAACAAACAGTTCGTAACCATTCCACGTTCTTCCCATAGGTTTCTGCGCAAATCATCATTAAATACAGCAATTATTTTAAAATTCGATTAACGTCCAATCAAATTACATCGAAAAACCACGTGACAAGACACCTTCTTGAATCAACTACGTATATTACTGACTTGGTTTCAATAACGATGCGCTTAGAAAAACTGCTTTGAGAATTCGAAATTTATTAAATTCACAAAGAGGATAATTCGGGGGTTTTTTTTGCCGGAGTCCTTTGAATTAACAGAATTTGGAAACACACAAAAAAAAAAATAATAATGACGTGTGCAATTTGTTCGATTTATTTAGCAAATTCCTTTTTACATAATCTCTATATTCACAATAATCTCTTGTTATAATACTATCATCCCAAATTCTAAATTGGTCTTTATTACTATTAGGACCGATCATTCTATAATGATTCAGTTGATTATTCGGTTGATGGAGAATTCTTGAGTTAGAATTGGTGGACGTTATTTTATTTTATTTTCTATGATGAAAAATTTTTAAAAAAACAAAACAATTTGGAAAATTGGATTTATTAAACTTGCCACTTTCATACGCCTTATTAGAACAATCTTCCCTAATTTTTTATGAATTTTGAGGCTAGTTTGTGATTGAAAAAGATGCCACAATAAGACTTCTCGGAATATTAATTAGTTGAACGCGTCAGCCAGCTATAGTATAGTGATCTTCTTGATATATATCCAAATTAAGCAAACAAATTTGATGCGAATTTCGTCAGGATCTTTCAACCCATCATGGAATGCATAAATTTCTAATTCCGAGTTAATTTTTATAATTCAATGGACTAAGGTTTACGGTACGATCATGGAGTAAAGATGTCCTAGCAATCAAAAATAATGCATCAGTAACTACGCATCATCATTAACCCAATTCGAGAGAAATCGTTGTTAAATGACAAGAATGATGTGACTTTAACAAGGCAACGATGTTACAAGCAAGAGATCAAATTTCAACCTGAATTTGGCAAAAGTTCTTTTGAGGTAATGCTTGGTGTTTGCAAGAACCAGAATGCGATTTAATATTCGATACATTTTTTTATCACTCGTTATCATTACATCATAAAAAAAAAAGATTCTAGAGACCATTTGAAAATTATCTGATGAGATATCGCAAAAAGAAAGATAAGAAATCCTTGATTATAAAATGATAAATCGTATCGAAATTCATGATGGTTACCTGAAAAGATCAAGCATTATTTCAAGTAATCGCATCAGCTTGACAACGACATCATTACTAAAGAAGGTTTTTTTTTTTTTTTTTTGAGCCAAGATGAAGATAATGTTATTTTAATATCCTTGTGATATCTATATCCTTTAACCCATACGTTGAAGCGATATGGAATTCGCTACGCTATAACTGTTATTTTCATTCATTTTTATTTTAGTTAATTTTACGCATAGTCAATCGAGTTCGCTTCGTAGTTGCTACGCCAAGGACGAACCCTCTCTTAAATGGCGACATCATGTGCTTCAGTCAAAAAAGGAAGGTATTACTACATCGATGACACAGCAAACCTTATACTTAAGAAGGAGCCAACAAGTTTATTCCAGAAGCTAACACAAAATTTTCATCAATGAAAAAAATAATAAATATTTTTTGAGGCTGTAAACAATTAAAATTAATTGATGCATAAATGATTATAAATGAGGAAGTATCTTCCTTACTTGATTAAGCCAAATAATTATTTATGGGGTACTTTCCCATCAAGTGACCCCGATCAGATCAGAGTTACGCATCTGTTACCAATTATACCTTTTTTAAATGTTCAAAATATTTCTTTTTTTTTAAAAGAATCAAAAATGGACTAGTTCAGCCAAACAGATTAAATTAAGGATAATTCTAAAACCCAAATATTACAAAGGTTGGATTCATCGATTATAGACTATACGTCCAAGAATTTTCTTTTGACAAAAGCCGAACGAATCTCGTGGGAACTCGTGTAAATGACAAACTCTTAATGTTTAAGCCGGGATCTCGTTTAAAGCACGTATCATACATACATATATATTTATATATTTATGTTTATATGTATTTTTTATTTGTTATACGATGGTGTTGTATTCACAAATTAAATGGTAAATAATCAAATGTTTATTATTCATATATCGAACAAAAAGGGAACTTTAGAATACAAATTTCGTCAAGTTGCATAAAGCAAAGATCAGATCATTAATTAAAAAGGAAGTTGATGTCGTATTAATAGAATTCTTTTTTTTTCCTCGTGTCCTTGTCCTTGTCGCGACTGTCGCCTTGCATAAGAAAGCCAACGAATTTTTTACGGCGTTACCTTGTAAATAAAATTATTTTGAGATTTTTTTGCATCTAATCAGGTAATATTATTTGTTTGAAAAAGGTAAAAAATGTGGCCTAAAAATCAGTGTTAAGCCTAGTATAAACAACTGTTTTATATATTAAACAAAAAGCGCGTTGATCGGCGTTGTGTAATTTTGCGTCATAATTTGTTGCGCATGTACTGTACAATGTAGTAATTTCGCGAAAGAATGATCATCACGCAATTACTAAAGATAAGGAATTGATAATAAATTTAATTAAACATCAGAGATAAACCTCTCAAAGAAAAATTATTACATCATAATTCATAAGCAATGATGGAACTAACATTTTACCGTGGGAACGTATCAGAATAACTCGGAACCTATTATATTACGACAAAGGTGGGTGTTTGAGGTAAATTTTTCAAACTCATGTGGATGCTCACGTGATAGAGAGGATTAATTACATTTGATTGTAAATTCACAAAAAAAAATTTTTCTGAAATTACGTTTTGTTTACATTTTTTTTTCATTCAAAGGATTATATCGGAATAAAGTCTTTTGTCATCCAAACGAGAAATATATTTACACAAAGAATCACGTTTATTGAAAAGTGAGCTAACATCGATATGGTGATATTTCGCATAAACAAAATTTAAAAAAATTACTCAACAAGACTTTTCAACCAACCCTTTTTTTTTTTTGCATCATGCAGGAGATTGGATTTAATCTTTACTAAAATGGAAAACCGAATTATTTTTGTGATTGAAGACGTTTGGTTCGAAACAGATCCAGAAAATATAATAAATGATGATTTGGATCTACAAAGCGTTCGTCACCATGCCGTTAATGGTTTAAAAGATCTTATTCCTGGTACACAATGATGAATCTCAATTTAAATTTTAATAAAAAAATCACCTGTTAAAATATTTATGGTAAATAAATAAAAAAACCTTTTTCTTTTTTTGATGTATTTTTAATATATATACATGAATATTATTTATTTATATACATGAAATAACTATGGAAACAATAAAAAATATTGACTTTGCTATTTTAAAAAAAAAATAACTATAGGGAAATATAAAAATCGGGAGCATTTTCTAAGGGGTTTTTCCTTCTAGTAATTTCGATCCCTGCAATTAATCCTATAACCATACAATGCGGAAGGATCATCATTACCTTTCAGTATGATTTATCGAAAGATTTTTTTCGGTGGGAACGAATCTTTGCCGAGCGACCGGCAAATATAACTTATTGACGTAAGTGGAGTTTCCGGTGACATAATATTTCCCAAACAATAATAAATAGACAATAATGCATTGAAAACCAATTTGTCATGTGTGTCATCGTGTCACACAACTTTAATGTTATACGTTTGAACAAACAGTTGAGTCTAGAATCTCTTGACTTGTCTGGTGCAAATCTTTATGTGTGATGAAAATTTAATTTGTAACTTAAGATTAAGGGTTCCACTGCGACCAGCATGCGAGACGATGAAAGTTATCAAACAAAGACCTGGACAACGTTTAACGTCTGTCTTTATTAATCTTTTGTGGAAAAATTTTCATTCTTTCTTTCCTTAATTTTTTTTTTAAAAAAAAAAAAAAATAATTCAAAAAATCAAAAAAATCAACGTTATTCCAGATAAAGGTTTTTTTTTTTTTTGAAAGCATTGTCCCCCAGATGGTACTTGCGTCAAAATCACTTTGGTTATAAATGAAATCATCGTAACCTTTAAATAGAAGGTTCGTCGTCATATCTGTTGATTTCATGAGAGTGTTTTTTTTAAAAAAAAAAAAATGTGAATTGAAATAAATTTTTTTTTCAGATGAATACTTTAATATTTAACAATGCCACTTGAACTTTATCCTTATTTATTTTAGTTCGTAGGGAAAAGGTAGAAAATCACTACCAACAATAAAGGGCTACTGATATTATCATATATAATAATATATTATTACTCAATGATAATTTGTATAGTTATATAAATTATATAAATTTTATGATATCAAGCCACATGAGGATTTATTTATAATTGGTTTAGTGCGATTCTATTTAGATTCTATTTATAATATGATATAATGTAATAATAGTATGATTTATGTTGTATTACATTACGTATATCGTATATCCTTTTGATATATTCATATATATTGTTTATTGTATAAATACACAACGTTACCTACCGGAAAAAAATTTTCTAAAAAAAAAAAAACAAAATTAAAATCGTATTCAAAAAAGAAAATTTCATTTCTTAAGAAATATTCTTCATACATTAAAATTTTTTTTCAAAAGGATGTCAGCAGCAACACAGCACTGTCTCGGTAAAAAATCATCTATTCCTTACATTCACTCAAATCACAAGTCCACGATGGCATCATCATATCAACAACCAACTGAATCGATGATTGAAGCCGCAAAGATAGATTATGCCACCCGTCTTTTCGTATACACTCGACGACAACTTCAACAAGTATCCTCTTCACCTTCGAGAACGAGAAGCCAAGAAAATAAAAGTAAAAAGGTTACGCGAAATGGGGTAAAGGATTATAATGAGATTCGTGGTCAAAGAGTCAAGGAAGCGAAACGAAATTGGTGACTAACCGGTATATTTAATAGAAGATTAAATAAAACTGGTATCGAAAGCGCAGAGATCATATGACATAGAAATTCATGAAGTAGATGACCATCACAACAAAAAAAAAGATTTTATTCATTTTTTTATATGCTTAGTTCCACCTTTCTTTTTAAGCATAGCTCGTCATTATCAAAGATAATCTCTCTTTTTTTCGGCTCGCTATTCTGAGTAAAACGTTTCACTTATGAAGTTATGAGTTTTAATATGGCTGTGCTATTTATCACAAACTCTTTGTATATTCTATATTATGATAGATACTTTTTTATATTTGGGCAAGCATCTTTTTCTTTTTTTCCTTTGTACTTAATCTCTCCTTTTAGTAATAAAATGTCGTAAATAATAATAATAATAATTACAATAATAATAATTTTTATTTGTTTGTCTTTGCGTGATATTTTGAGAGTTTCAATGAAATGGATATTAAATAATGTATCTGTTTCAGAAACAATCACAACGTGGCGTAGTCGTTCGAAAACCCTTGTTGTGTGATTGTTTGCTCATGTGATCCCCTTATTTACTGTTAAATTATCTTCCCACGATCCTATAAGGGCGTAAAAAGGCACAAACAATGGAATTAACCAATTCATCATCAACGCCAAAAAAATGTCATGAGGAATTATACAATATCTTTCCTACAATTCTTTTTATTATTATTATGAAAGTAGTTAAATTTGGATTTCCGCAAAACAACCTCGACTACGCCCCGCCGGCAATTGGGCTTCCGTGCCACAAAATGTCAATAAATGAACGACCAGCACGTTTCGTTTTCATATTTCACATGATTTCAATTAGGTGGCTTAAATGTTCGCTTCCTTTCTGTTCCTCCTTTAGTAGTTGACTTCTTTTCGCGTCTTTTGATTTTCATTTTGAGGGGGGTGAGGGAACTTGAATGAATTCATTTATCAATGATGCAATATACCGGATTTCAAAAGAATTCGCTCTGAATAAATAAGGTAACCTTGATCTATCCCTAATGAACCTGACAATGATTGGTGAATGGTTTAACTTTTGCGCAGGTTCGTCCACATTAGTTTAGCGCAAATCATGTAAGTGTAGATCTGAGATTACTTAAGTCAACATAAACATAATTATGCAATTACACAAAAGAGATCATTTAAGGCACGTGTAGTGTGAATCTAGCATCTCTTTAGCATACCTCATGTCAATCATTTCTTTACCGCTTCGTTTTTTTCAGGTTTTAAAACCCTCCTTTCATTATGGTCTTTAAAGAATGATTCATCTAGTTGAAAAGGGCTTTTTTTAGCATGCGAGCGTTGAATTTAGACTTCAAAAAATATCCTAATTGACGCCTCCGTGTTTGAATCGATTGTTTTCCATATGAGGAAGTCAAATCTATTCGCGTCTCGCCTGAAAAATCAAAACTTAATGATGAAACTTTTTTTTTCTCTTCAGCCGATAAAATGCAGGTTTGATGATGATTATTGGTTGGAATCGTTGATGGTTAATTCTAGGGCTAAAGTCTAGAACCAAAATGATCTTCATTCGTGACCTTTGAAAGTTCAAATAGGTAAAGTAGGTACGTTTTCTTGGGTTAGCGTTGGTGGATTTAACAGCTGCCAAAGATCTTTGATTCAAGTCACAGTGTTCGATCTAAGGATACACTCTTGAAAAAAAAGGTATGTAACACGCAAATCGTGCCAAACCTTAAAATATCGCAATTACACAAATACAACATACAACAGGGGGCGGCATCAAATATTTAAATTTATGAGTTAATGTCACGTGCACACGAACCATTTAAATCAGGTTTTTTGAGGGGACTTGAGTGATTAAAAGATGGATAACTGGGTTTGATTTGATAGCGATTATAAGAAAATAGATCTGTTTGATAAAAGGGTATCAAGCAAAATGGCGCAAAAATTAAATGTTGGAGATTTCCTATAATTAACCTAATGTTTTTAAAGTAAGTCTGAGATGAAAAAAAATAAAAAATTTTTTAAAAAATAGATCATGCAAACCAAACAAAGAAAAAACGCAATCATTGCGTAATCGAACCTTTTTAAGTCATTTATTTGACATCATACCAAATAAATATTTACTTTGCTACTGCGACACGGCCATAAATTTTTCTAAGTTAGCAATATAATATAATTCACATGTTTAACGGCAGCGTTTTATATTGAAATTGTTGATTATGCGTTGGAGTGACAGATATACTAATCAAATCAAATCTATATGTAGTTAATATACTAATATTTTTAATTCCCGTGAATTTATGTTTTCGGAATATCGAAATATTTTATTTGGCAATAGTGTTAGTAATTGTCGTAGCAGAGTATATTACAACCCGGGTTTTCAGATAATATTAGATCGTTTATTAACAGTTAAAACCTTTTTTTATTTAAAAAACAATTAACATTAATTATATAACAGAATTTAAACATTTGTTTAAAGAGATATGAAAGCTTGTCGCCAAATGTGCCGGGCTTATTTTGAAACTCTAGGCATTAATCCTTTAAATCTTTAAATTTTAATAACTTGCGCATTATTAAACATTTATGTAGTGCCATAAAACATAAATAAATACATTTTATCTTTAAGAAACATGTATACCTTGTTTTTTGAAATAATCCAAAGAAAAAAAATTCTTTTCTACAGATTTTGTGCATAAAAAGTATTACTTTATTAATGTTAATCTGGAATTTATTTATTTTGTTTAAAAGAAAAAGTTCTATTACACGAAAGAGGCAATTATTTGGGATATTTTTGCAGGATTAGGAAAGTAAATAATAAGAAGAATTCAGAGTTATAGAGGTGTGAAAATGCGTCAATCTTTAATAAAAAAAATCATGAGACTATTAATTAATATATCTGCCCACATTGTTTTTCACACATGATGATTTTGATTGGTTGAAATATCATCACATCATCACATCATCATTTTTATTAATATAATACAAATCAATAAAAATCTTACAGGCGAGGTTATTGGATAAAAATATGCTGACGAAATTCGCGTGTTTCAATGAACGTGGTAAAAAAGAAAAAAGATCAACACGCTAGTATACCATATTTAGCCTGTACCCATTACGTAAGTTTGGTGACAAGGTCAAAAGTACATATATATAATTGACCAATTGTCAAATGGAATGATTTATTATAATTATTTAATGTATTTCATAAAATAAATGAAAAAATGAAAAAATGAAAAAATGAAATTATGCATTGAAACATCCAGAGGTCTCTGAATATTGAAGGAGTTCGAATTACCGGGTGGGACGGATTGAATGACCTGAAATTAGAAGCTTTAAAATACAGCTTTTTCATGATTTGTAATATGATAATTATCTTTTGCTGGGCTTAGTGTTCGATTAGCAAAAATAATGATTCAATATGAATGAAATCTGATATGTTTGATATAAGCGGCGGGAAGGTATGGCGAAGATTGCAAGTCTTTGTCAGGCTTACTTGCAAACATTATGAATTTGAGAGTATACTCGTTTGCAGTTTGAAGGATCACGACATTCTCGCCAGAAAAAATTCATTTAAAAACAATTTTTAAAATAAATATCATTGTTTGCCTTTCAAAAAATCGTCAATTTTATACCAAATAATGTAAATGAATCCAAATCGAGTTTTTGTATATTTGAATTTGTAATTTTGTTATATTCCTAAGGAATACTTGGCAATGAATATAAAATTATCAAAAAATGACAATTCTGATGCATTATGACATATTAAAACAATTCAGGCTATCTACTTTATATCACTTTTCACTTTTTACGTTTCGCGGTTTATAATTTATCGTTTATTGTGGACTTTTCATAGCTCAATTGTAATACTTTAAATAAATAAATAGATCAAAATGTCCACTTGATTTATTGTTGGAGATTTTCTAATTTTCCGATCAGATTTCTTTCTTATTAAATTTGTATATTTAAAAAATATAGACATTTTATTAAAATTTCGTTTATTATAAAAGAATTAAAAAAATGAGTTCAAAATATTTTTTCATCAAACAGTCGGCCAAAGAACCGATCGGGAATGACCTTTTGAATGAATATTTTATTTTTAACATCTAGTATGATTTAATACTTTTTTGGCTTATTAGAAGAGCTAATTCTAATTATTTACTTTAACTATTTTTGTACATGACATTTAAAACTTTTGGGTTTGATTTAATTTATTATTATAATTTTTTTTTTTTTAAAAAAACAACATTGTTGGTCAACTGCTCAGTTAAAATTCGGTCAAAGCCGATCGGTCAATCAGTCAGAAGCCTTAAATCCGATATCGGTCGGATGCTTATCAAAAATATTTTTCATTGTTCTAAATTGTCTTTAACCAATAACAGTTTTTTTAATTTTACCAAGTTTTATCAATTTCGTCATAGATTCATCATATAACTTGACTTTTTTCAAAATTTAGTTTTTTTAATGTAAAAACGGAAATACCATTATGTCACCGCAAAAGATCAAAAAATAATTCTGTAAACATAAGATGTAATATTTTATTTATTCTGTAAGATTCTGCGACGTTTATTATAATATTTTATATAATATAGAAATTAACTATCATTAAAATAAAATATATTTTACTACAATAAAGATTCTTCTTGTCAATTATCATAGTATTGAACCAAATTTAGATACTACATGCTATATGAGATAAAGTGATAATTATTCAGCCATACTTAATATATAATATCTATATTCATTTTAAATAAATTATTAGACGGATTATCTAATTCTGTAAATTTTTTATAATACATTAATAAAATACAATTAAAAATCTGAAACTTTTTATATGCTATTTTAAATACTTCAATAAAAATCTTTCAGCTGAAATAATGACTTATAATAATTGAATCCAAGTTAGAATAAAATTGATTTGATTATAATAATATCACTTTTAGATATGTTAAAAGACTTTTAATACCGCTTTTCTTGTTAAAAAAACTAATATTTAACAAAATAGTAGAATAAATTTGTATAAATTGT